CCCCTATACCATGCAAAAAACCATTTTCGAAAAGCGTCCCACGCCCTGAAAGACCTTCCTTGTTAGGGCACCGATAGGTTATCCCTCGGTATCGTCTTAAGAGGTACTTATCAAAAATATTACCGAGACCATCTAAATGAACTAAAAATAAGTTGGGAACACACAACACAAAAAGGCTTATCTCCAAGATTTTTTGAGATTAAAAGTGTTCAAACTACTAGGCGTGCACAGATTCGCTTGTGACTTGCTTCTAGGCGAAATACTTGCACGACACGAGTTTCGATTGGGTTCAACAACGTAGCATCTGGACTCAAGATCGTAATTAAGTAAATGTCGCATACGGGAGACAGTTTGGCCATTATGGGATGGCAATAATATGGGCGCTGCCCGGAGCCTTCAACGATACTTACCAAAGAGTCGCACCGTGATAACAAGGCGATCAGAAGTTTGCTTTCACAGTCCTTTTTATCTTCATGCATAGATTCGAAGGCACAGTTCACAATAATTCTGAGGTGCCCTTTTTTGGTCGGAAAGCAGAAGTATAGGTTAAAAATATAATAGTTCATCGAGAATGAAAAAACAAGTGAATTCGCAGATTTCGAGAAAAACAAGGCTCCCCAAAAAAGTGATGATAGAACTTGGACGAAATTACCATGATGGAAGTAAGATGGAAGAAGATTTCGGACGAGATTCCAGTTGTTGCAACTGAGCAAAGACTACATCTAACTATACAGAACTGCCTTCCACTGTTACTATGGGTTACTAATACTGTTACTATGGACAAGTTGTTTGATCTCCCTACATTGGCTTCATTGCGATTGATGCAGCCTGAACAGTGCCGGTGAAACTCGTCCGAGAATTCACACGTTGCAATCTCTGAGCCTTTATAACGCCTTATCTACGCCGCTTTCCGACCTGACAGCGCCACATAAGGTATACGAGCGGGCCCAAAATTTGTCTTAAGAGATACCTCATAAGCCAATTTTATCGTGAACTGTGCTTTAAACCAAATGCCAAGACTCGAATTACTGATGGTTGGATAGGTCTTATGGCAACTGATACAGGAATAAGGAGATTATTTGGTTCCTTATGGAGCTACAAACCTTGAGGAGTTTGTGCTTGTTCGAAAGCAAGAATAAACCGAGTTAGACTCTTGTATGGTTCAACTTCAATCGGCTCCTATTAGTTGTCATTCGATTTTGGTCAACCTGCTCCACCACCACGACTTATCTTATGGAACATTTCAGAAAGACAGGGCTACAACGCGTGTACCATAGGGTTGGGGAGTGGAAAGCCATGACAACTTATCAGCTTTTATCACTTGTGCCATTCACTTTCTGAGGCTCCTTATCAGTCCCTAATGATATTGCTTACTATCATTACCATTAGTGTTCCCATCCGGCAGAAGGTACTCTTTCGAAATTGAGCGCTTCAAGTGGACGTAGATTTAAGTTTTCCGGTCGCACACACACACCACCCACTCACCCATACACATGCTCAGATACCAGGTAAACTTCCTCGAAGATCACGTCGCGTACTGTAATCTGTGGGTACAGTACGACCCTGACCTTCGCGGATAGATTCATTTAATCACTAGAATCTGAATAGAGTTAGAAGCCATACTATGAGCACTACCATAAAATTACTCAGGTTTCGGGAGTCCTGCAAATGACGAGTGAGATTTTCGTACAATTTTGCTTCCTTTACCGCGAGCAACTATTTTCTTCTCGTTTTACTTCGGAAGCAAGGAACGTCAATCTCACGAACTCCCTACTTACTACGATTGAGTGTCCCTCGCTTAGTTCAAGAGCCTGGCCCTACACCTCCACTCATTTACTAGCTCATAGTATGACTTCTAGCTCTGTCTCGATCCTAGTACGCCTTGACCATCTTACGATATTAACCCTTCATCCATGGTTCGAGCTTGATTATGAACCAGATATTTCCTTCGGCTTTAACAACAGTGACAGATGTTTACAATGATGGACTATGGGTGCAATTCTTCAAAAGGTATCTCGAGACATAGTTCTTCTATCTTATTGTTTTTGCAAGGTATAATGCAAATGTGCCACAATGGCCCATATGGATGACGAGGGAACAATCCTTTCAGACGTTGCAGCGGAGGAAAATGACTTTTTTTTCTAATATTGAAGCCGCATTATGAAAAGTTGGCTAGCTCAGCTTCGTGAAAAGTTGAATGAAAGAGTTGCATCTCGAAGCATTAATATTGTAAGATATGCATGAGTATGTTTTTGGATTTTCAAAACTCAGTAACTCACTTTTTCGCTTTGACACTATTTGGATAATCCACAACAAGTCCACCATTGAATCCAGCTTTTGTAGCTAAAGACATAATCAGAGCTGACTGGTGTTCATTCTCTGGGTAGAACTGGAAGACTGCCCGAGTTCCTCGACCCTAAAAAAAAGGGAAAATCAAAGTTTTGCGTATTCTGAGTCGCAATGTTCGCTATATACTCTCTTCAGTATTGATTTGGTTATTCAGTTGATCATATTGGAGCTTGGGAACACCGACACCATTCATCGAAAAGTCGCAGTGAGTAGTTGAGTGGCTCAATAAATCTGCGAAAGAAAGTCCAGAAAAAGCAATTCTGCGGCTTGAGGAAGAGCACGAAAGGTAGAAAGAGGTAGGAAAGGACGATTGGGGCACTGAAAAAATGCTCTTTCCAAGAGTCAATTTGCTCACACCACTCATTTTTCAAGAACGTTCCTATCTCAAAAACCTTTGTTGAGCTCTGCACACAGTTCGAGTTACTAGGATGGGGGAAAGATGCTGAAGTGCAGGTTGTTTCGCACTAAACCCATGACCCATTCGCTGTTCAAGGTTAGTGCATAGCAAGGATAGAACAAGTTTTGTTATTTTTCATTCTTTATGATTTTTCTGCAATGTGTTCCATGATCAGAAAATTATTATAAGGTGATGAAGACGGAGGAACATACCAAGCACCCATAAAGCGTCTGGAAAAAGCGATGAAGACGTCGCTTGGGATTCTGATCAGTAGAGTTCGCATGGCATAACCATTGAATAGCCGAAATACTAAACGAAACGTATTGCTTGGCATCGGCGTTTCTTTAAAGAAATGTGTGGCGACTATGGGCTATTTAACCATTGAAACGAACAATGAAAATTCCTAGCGTAACCAAAAGTATGGAACGTGCTCCCCTGAATAGCCTCTCAATATATGTACGAAGGATCGCCGCACAGGAAGGCGCACCTAATCCCAAGACCCATGAACCTAGTAAATTATTCGCTGTCTTCGGACAAGGTCCGCTCCGAGCAATGAAAATCTAGAAAACAGATTGGGTTTGTAAAAAAAAAACCGACCTGATAGCTCCATCAAAGACACCGGGCAAAAACGGCACTCCATTGCCCATATCGGCCAGTATAAAGTCGCCCATATTATCTCTATCTTCATCGTCTTGACTAGCAATTTCTGGGACAAAGAGAATTCGGAGTAAAGAGCATAGAGGAAAGCAGGGAATTCGGCTTACCCAGCATTGGCCTGCTGATATCAAGTCCTACCCAACAATGACCTGCATTTGCCAACACTCCTCCACTTATACCTGTACCGCAGCCTTTAACGAAACAATTTTATAGAACTCATAGTACCACAGAAAGTAACAAAAACAACGATACCTACCGATGTCCAACAGAAACGCTGATTTGTCGTCCGGTAGCGCAAGCAGTTCCAAAGCCCTTTCTGCCATCTCAGTTTGAATGGAGACTATGTGCGAGTTTGAAGCGTATTTACATGCCTCTTCTTCATTATAATACTGGAAGAGACCGTTTTCAAATCACTGAAACACTGAAATCCATACTTAGATTCACCGAGTGTGTTGCGATTCGTGCGATTCCGGGTGCGCGCGACAAATTGCGCGGCAAAATTCGGTGCGATTGGACGACTGCAACGTTTGTCATTAGGGCCCAAATTTGAAATAAAGTATGTTAGTAGGATTGTCCGACCATACTGAAGTACTTTCCTTCAAGTTTGCGCCCCAATGATAGACGCCCGAGTTGTTTGAATCATCGCGATATTCGCCGCGCAATTCGCCGCGCGCACCCAGAATCGCACGAATCGCTCGCCCCCCAGATTCACCAGCACACGAGATACCCACGTGCAACTCTAAAGCACCCCGTTTCAAGCCCTGTTTCAGCCAAATGTAGGGACCTATCAATACAACAGAGAATGAAAGTGGTTGAAGTCCTCCCAGGTGCTTTTTCCCTTCTATTTATCCCAACTACCTATGGGTAGCGAGCCAAGGACCGCTTAAAATGAACTGGCCAGCGTTTCTCCAGAAGAGATCTTGTCCTAATCTAGATCCTTGTACGTTACCTCATCGGAGTGATAATCTTATCGAAGCTGCTGTAAAAAGTAATGGAGAGCGAATTCACAATTTCGAGTTTTGTCTGATGAAGCTGATTTATTGCTATGGAATGGTTCGCCCTTACCGGTGGGTGATAACTTATGTTCAAACAAAAGTTGATTGCCACCCTCACAATTCTTCCCCTTCTCTGGTGAGATCATTCCGGAAAAAAGATGGAAACTGTTGAAAGAAATGTGTCGTGGGATAAAAGTACATTCAAAAAAATCCTCACCAGTTCTGGGGGACCAGAGTGTTCAGGTCGGACGCGATTCACGGACATCGCTACTAAAGATGACTTTGCTGAGGTAAAACCAGCTCTGACTTTAATAAATGATTAACAAGACCTTACATAACCATGAACCATCTGGGCACTAGAGGAATATAAGAGCAACATCTCCAGAAACAAAAAGGAAATATCATCGAAATAATTTATTCCAGAACGTAAATCAGATACAGACTGCTCACTAGCACAGAGATTTTGGAAAATTTACAAATTTTCAATCACGACTGACTAATTCACAAAAACACCGAATGGGACGAGATTCTTTGATAAGATTCAGCTCAGACACTGCAACCGATTTAGAGAGCTTTCAACCTGCTCTAGTACACACTCATGCTTTGAATGCTTTCCGAAACACTTGTGCTACTGGAAGAATGACAGTGCTGCTGCAGAAACAGTGAAGGCACCCAGTACTGAACGGTGTCCGCAGCTTGTTCGTCCACCCAGGCCAACCCTTCCTTCACTAAATGATCAAGAACAGCTTGAGCTCTTGGTTCGTCCCACCTGAAAAGACGTGCATCAAATGCATGGAATCCGCCTCATATACATCAGAAGAACGCACAACGGCGCTGCTCACCGTAATCTATCAATAATAAGTTCTTTTGTAACATATGCAGCGTCCTCTGCTAGCTGAAGCACTCGTGAGTGATCCATGCTCAGCTCACCAGGAACTGATTGTACAAGAAAGCGTCCTCCACCCAGAGGTACAAGCTCAAATCCGCCTCCCAGTACTTTCAATTTATCAACAGCTCGAAGAATATCATCCCTGAAATTACGAACAGTTCACAAAAAATAGGTGAATTAGCAGATACTTTTTAAGAACTGGGACAACGTACGTTGTAATGGTCTCTTTCCTCGTTCGAGACCTACTACGCATCAAGCGATTTCTTATTTCTTCTACAGTCATTATTCCTCCGTTGTAATGACTAGTGGACAAACAAACCTTAAGAATAGAACACTTAAAGCCCAGCATAGCCGAGTGAACCAACCTTACACCAATCTCTATGATTGAATGAAAACCCATTGAAAATGGATTCAATGCTTATATAATGCAACGCATGACTAGCACTCATGAAGTCAAACTTCGAACATCAAGACATTACCTCAACAATTTGAACAGCAAGTTCGTAATAGAAATCTCCGACACCAAGTTTTTCCGCCCAGAAGCCTTTTCCTGCTGAAACAAAAAACTTGTGCCACCATTCAAAAAAAAAAAGACGTGTAGATACTCACAAGCAAGGGGATCTACCCCTACACTAGCACACATCTCTTGGAAATGGCGACGAAATTGCGAATTCTTTCGAATCTCATCGCGATGACGATGAGCAAACTGTTCCAGCCTGTTAAACATATGTTCTAAGTAGCGATGTAAATCCTGGAACCGACAACATTGGATGGGAAAATCATATTCCCAATAACTCAAAAATGCCTTGCATGCAGCCATGCTTGAGGTATGAAGTCTTCGTCTATGATAGCACCTACTTGCATTACGGGTACTGCCACTTACAAGCACAACTCGATTTCAGGCCTAAAACTAAATTCTAGCAGGGTGAACTTTAGTTAGTGCTACTACATTCTTTTGGAATTTGTAACCTAGTAGTGCGTTCATTCAAACATCGTAACGAAGTTTCCTATAAAAGGCCGCCCCTCATTTTGAAGGCATTGATGCACGAATTTCTACTGACGTGTATACCGAGAACTCTACTACTAAGGTCAACACCTTCACAAACTATTAAAGAGCAAATCAAGGGAACGAGATATGAGAGGCAAACTTCCCATATCAGAAAATTCTGACCACCGGTACGTTATAACTGATGATCTAATTCATTCCGATTCAATAATAATATCTGCTCTAAAACTGCGTTTCACCTAAGACTTTGTTGGGAAGAATGAGGTGACACCTTTTGTGTTTTCTATTATTGCAAATGTTTTTTTTTCACTCTTTGCTATATTGGGCGAAGAGATACCCTTTGTATGAGCTGCAGGGTGTCATTGGCACATTCCAATTCCATTCCAGGAGCGTTTGTTCAGGGTTGTGTTGGAATCACACAGAGAGTGGAACCAAGTCAGAACTTCAAATGAACGGACAAAAGGAAAGCCGGCTCTCACAGTAGCTTTGGGAAAGAAGACCTTCGGCAAAGAAACGTGAAGTCACTGCGAACCTGCGATCAGTTTAAGATAGGCCTACACAGCCGAACTATTGCGAGAACCGATTTCCCGAGCTAAATTTTCTTTACAGAAAATCTATTTTGGCTCCCAAAAGTTGATTGCTGTCGTTTTCAGGGCTTGTCATTTACGACATAGGTGTTTGCATCAGATTACGCATACATGTTACACCCCATTCAAGAAAAGTGCAGAATTAGTAAATTAAGAGCGATAGCTTTGAAAAATACATCAGGAGAATCTGGGGCTTAATAAGATGTTGCAATTTTTGTCAAACTGCTCCATTAACAAAGTGACACTGAAAATTCAGGGGGATATGAAAGGATAGCGATATGGAGAAAAATGAAGCAGTTGACTATCATGCTTCCTTGGCCCATTTGTGATGTGTAAGCTTCACAACAGAACGGCTGCGATTGATACAAGTAAGCATACTCTGCGCGATACTCAAATTGCGCCAACAATTTTTACAGGAAGAGAAGATTTTTAGCTGATCATGGACGAGATTTGGAACAGCAAAAAAGAAAAAGACAGAGAAAGTAGCACAACGTTAATAATCGAAGCAACCTGATAGTGAACTCCTCAAGTTGTTTCGAAAACATTTGTAGCTGTTCACTGGCCATCTGCTCTCCTTTAGCATTGAATTTTGCCTGACAAAAAAAAAGCTTAACTCGTTGTGCAACAAGTCGAATTGAAAAAGAACCTGCGTTTCCTGCTTGCGTTGAACAGCAGCAACACCCACACCGCGCCTCCTCGATGCCATCACCTTTGAGCTCTCAACATAGAAGTTATTCATTAAACAAACATGAGAACCGATATCTCACTGAGAAGACAGGTAGCACACATCAGTGCTTTTGTGTCCACGATTAATGAAAAAATAAAACATTTATCAAGAAAAAAAAGAACAAATGGGGAAAAACGCATCCAACAAAACTCAACAAGGTTCTACAATAAATAGAGAGACTAGAAGAGGCATCACCTGTGAGAACAACAATGACAAAAGGAACGTCCATGGAGATATTAAAGAAAGGGATCATATCCGAGAACAACATTCAAGGCAACTGAAAACAGCATTTTGATAGCGAAGTTTTAAACTTTAAAGCCGTAGCGCCGCTACAGCGGCTATCTTCATCAGTTTTACCAATAATAAGTTGACCATCCAAGATGATACCCAGGACTAGTCTCACTTAGTGTTCAGGACAACCGGAGAGTTTTAATGGACTGGAAAACATATGGATAGACTCTCAGATGAAACGCTGTCACATGCAGTAGCCCCTTTTCAATACCTAATTGAGGGCGTTGAGAAGAAAGAAGAAAAAAAAGAAAAACGGGACCATTTCAGCCGGACCGATGAAGGGTAACAAGAAATATATGGATCACCTGAGAGATAGTCATTTTGAACATTTTCAATGTTTCTGAAAAGATTGCTCGACAATTAATCCTACCTACCATAAATCACAGTTGAATATAGCTGGAATTACTGATAAAAGTGAACAATATCAGGCTTGAGAGTTCATGTCATGTAATAATGAAAGAAGTTCAAGTTGAATTTCGTAACCATAACAGTTTGATTGTATGAAAATTGATGCAAGAGTTCAACCGCGTGAATTTTGCAGCTTTTCCACTACCTTCATTGTGAGCGAAAGAGGGACAATCTTCTTCACTCTCTTGAAGCATACTGATCAAGGACTAAGGAAAGTGCTGATAAATACGCTCGTTTCCGTATTCAGAGTAGCATGCCACCACTTGTCCGGAATGAAAATTACTTCCCCGGGCTTCAGTAAACATTCAAGAGGACGTTTCTCTCGCGGAAGAGAAGGATATTCTTTCAAATACCTGAAAATGTTCACGAGTAAATAACCTTGGCTATCTGGAAATTTGATCAGCGGCAACGTACCATTCCAGAGTTGTGTGATCTGGCTCAAACTGCGGTCTATCTTCGTACGGGTATAAGAACCATTTTTTTGACCCATAAATCACCTCGGCAAATACTGGCCCGTGGAAGTGAAATGGTACACCTGTTCCTAAAAATTTTCACACATGCACCTCGTCGACACAGTTATCAAAAAAAGCTTTTCCATAAAAGCTACCAGCGCCAGCAATCCCAAAACTGAGTGCGGGAGAGTGTTCGGGAAGTGACCATTGTGGGAGTTTGTAAGCACTTAACAAAGGTGCCCACAGCTTTCGATCGATATCTCCAAATAGATACATGGTCTCATTACCCAGAGCATCTCGGTTCTGAGGGTGAAGCCAATTTTCGATATAATCTCCAAAAGTTGTTGGCTTCTGAAAGTACAACAACAAGTTATGGTAAAACATATAGGTTTTCAAGCAGACTCTGCTCAACGCTATTCCATAGTTCTCCAGGATCTCAGCAAATCCCGGTCTCTGGCTCTAGCTAGAGGAACGCATCAACGGCTACGATGTTGCGGAACGTCTCAAAGTAACTCTGTAGCACTATGAAAAGAATCGTACCCGGGTGTAACTGTAGGTGTTTGCAGAATTCAAAGTAACAGGCGAGTCTTTCCAATCTTCAAGCATTTTTCCTCTGGCTGTGAGCTTGCGGAATTCCTCATTATCAATGTTATAGATGACTACAGGCTCACTATACGCGTATCTAAAAGAAGTACATTTGTCAGATAATTCTTAATAAATAGAGTGAAACCCAACATCAACTACCTTTTCAAAAATTCCTTCTGAGTCAAATCTTGGCCATCATGTCTTTCTAGATTGCACGGCCCTTCTTGACCAACCACGTCATTCTTCTCAGTATGCCATCCTCCATTATCGATTGCCTCTTGGTCCGCATGAAGTAACAAGCAAAAGAAAAACAACAACAGCATGCGCTTCATGCTTAGAACAAACAGATATTATTCTCAAAAGAAGCGAACCTTAAAATAGAAGTATTTGTCAGGTGATTAAGACACTGTTTGATGATACCAACATTCTGTCTTCGAAAATTCATATTTAGAAAGAAACGAACGATACCGCAATAGAAACATGTTTGGCAACAGTGCTAATGCAGTATGATGCAATAGAAATCTACATTGACATGACATACAGGGCATAGCAACGATGTCAAAACATGAAAAAATTTAAACGAATGCACATTTTTGTACACAAACTCTTCCTGATGACAACAACTACTGAGGATGACGCAATTTTAATAGTTGGTCGTTGGAGGAATACGCACTATAACCGTTTCACTTGTGCTAGAATATTGTAGCCACTGTTCATTATTCTGCTTCCGCCGCTGGGCAACGAATATCTGAAATGAACGAGAACAATGAGGCTAGGTTGCTCGCCACGTTTAGGCACATCTACATTTTGATTTTGATGATCATCAAACAAAACTGTTCGAAGAGTTTGCTCTTTGACTATTCCATTGACAGCATAGCAAACCCAATATAATAGATAGATTACTTTGATGAGTGTTTGCTTTTTCTGTCAGTAGGACATACCTAAATTGTTCATAAGAGATCTCAACCAATGCCGGCTGGACTTGTCCTCATCAAGAATGGCCTTGAAGGTTTCGTCCTTGAGCTGATCCGGCAGACACTGACGCAAAGCTTGTTGTGCGCTAAAAAAAGATTCGCCATTGATTCAAACTCATCGATCTGAACAAACACGACGTATTTGCCAATCAAATATCTGAATGACTGCACAGCGTTACCAATGCCAACGCATTCGACACTCACAAAAAGCAGAAGAGCTTTTTTTCAATTATCGGCCATTTTCTGTATCTTGCGTGACTGTGTCTGACTGCTAAGGCTACTTGATGAGGTTCTCGAAAGAGAACAGTGGAAGAGTGAGGATGCAGGGTCTGCTAGCAGTACTGTGCGCCGATTTCGCGACTTGTAAAATTGTGGAGAACTGAGAGCGAACTGTGTTCATGATTCCAAAAATTGCCGGGCCGATTCGTATCAGACGCTTGTAGCGGAATAACTTCCACGTACGGCTTTCTATCAACCTCAGCATAATTGCTCTGTTACTGAGTTGTTTTCTTTAACTCTTTGCTAGGTTTGTATATTAGCTTTGTAAGGCTGCTCTGGGGGTCTCAACCTTCAGTGTGGCAGTGGAGACGTTTGATCGGATAGACACAAATTGTTATGATATTCCAGGCTCTGGAGGAGGCGACCCCGCCGAAACGCCAGCCTAATAAAACTAGTATACAAGCCTCGTGAAGAGTAAAAGAAAACAGTAACAGAGCTTGTAGCGGGATACTCGCGTGTAGATGCCCATCATTTCAAGTTTTTCTCAACTACGAGCAGTAAGTTTTGAAGAAATGCAACCCGATAGTCGATTTGAAAAAAATACTCATTTCAATACTATGGGTAGAAATAGCCACAGAAATACATCTTTGCCCTTCAACGTTTCATCTTGACAAATTCACTTACCGTGGATTGTCGCTTAGACGGCTGTAGCATCGAATAACGTGCTTTAACAATCTGGACGAAGGATCTCGAGCAAGTTTCATTACCATTTTTCCCTTCAAATAAAACTGTACTCATTTGAACGGAAGCGCCACAGAAAAGCAAACTTACAAGAATCATAGCAACATGACTGAACCGCTCATACGTTTGACAAATATATGAGAGACCAGTATCATCAAGGAGAATTTTTTGAAGAATGAATGTGGCAACAGTTTTAGATAACTCAGTTCCTTGTTCCATTATTCGAAGACAAAGTGGAATGATTTCGGTGGATAGCAGAAAGGAAATCACCTGAAAACGATGTTGTTTCACACTATTCAATGATCCAAATTCAGTGTTCTATTGATGAGTTATTTGAGAGAGCTTTTACTCTAATTTACTGGCCAAGGCCCCTTCCCATAACTAGTGAAGAGATTTCTATTACGAACCTCTTTCTCATCTGTTTTCACCAAAGCGCCAATGACTCCTAGGGACGTTAGGCGGAGATATTCGAATGATCGGGAAGTTTTTGTCGTGTGAAGAAATGGATAGAGGTAGAGAGGAATGTGCGCTGAAAAGGAACGATTTTCGACCACACCATAATTAGAATCGTCATCAAAATCACTCGGATTCTAGTTTGAATTCGTAGCTCTACAATAACTCTGCAGTGACTTTTTTGCCAAAGAGTCATGCCAATACTTGCACTCTAGTACCACCAATGATGATTTCAAATAAGAGGGAACTCAACAACCGCAAACTAAAATTCCTTCGTTTTCAAAATGCTGAATGGAATTTACCACAAAAGAATTTATCTGAGCCTTTCTTGTGCTGCCAGCTGTAGGTAACTTTCAGCGTTTTCCCTTGCCAGCGCTTGTGCCCTGTGCCTTTCAATAAAGGGTGACGGTGAACGGACAAAGATTAATGAATGGCGGACGCCAGCGGCGTTAGCCGTCGATCGATACCCACGAGTCGATGAATGCTGCTGTTTGATTAAATTTGAACTCTAAAAATTTCCATTTGCTTCATTCTACTTCATTTACATTTATAAAATGACAACAGCTTTGACCGTAATGGTAAATAGTTTCGTTAGGTGCGACTTCAAATTTCATATGACAATTTCCTTTTCTTTCCAAATTCCATAAAACAAAATTCGCAATATTGAGAAAGATCTGGATGAAGCAAGCCAAAAAATGAAAGAACATTTGTTTATAACAAAGCCCTCCCCAACCCAAATTCTAAAGCAACCCATGTAAATGCTGCAAAATCCATACACAGCTGTTATAAGAAAGGAGCGAAACGAATGGCATTTCAAGTGTTTTACAAGGCATTCAGCACGAGGCTCATAGTTGACTTCGATCAGGTAGCATGAATCATTTCGAACATAGGAAAGTCAAAATAATGTCTCACTTCGCAAAAGTTTGCAAATATAAAAGTTGAAAAATAAGAAGGAGAAAAACGAAAACTACCAATAAAATGGAAACGCAGTAATCAATTGACATTCAAAAAGGAGTGAGGCGAAACAAGCATCCTAATGCTCAGAACTCATCTAGTACAGCAGCAATCATCGACCTGCGAGTAACGGTCAACGGTAAACTACATCGAAGCTGCCGCTCATGACTTTGAGCGCAGAGTATGAAAGCCCCTCTGTTCCCGGAACACTACTTCACCATCCTTATTCCGAATCTCGGAACCAACAAAAACAAACAATCGCAATATCTTTACTATGAAGGGGCTCTTCCAAAGAATTTTGTTTTTTCTAGCCATCTCACTTCTTTAGATTTGTGGACGATGTCTGTTTCCAAGGCTATCAAATTTGTATAACAGCTTAGTTTCCCATTCACTAGTAAGAGCAAATACAAGTGAACGAGCATTGTGGAACCGACAAGATGGGGCGCTTTCAAGTGCGTAAACCCTGATGTGAAGTAACAATCTTGCGATACCCGCGAAGCGGTTCGAGTGAACCGGCATAGGATGATGGCAAATGTTGAGTGCAGTCACTCTGGATTCACATACTCAGTCCACCCCTACAGCATGCAGGGAGTTAGAGCAATCCAATAGCTATAAGAAGAGCATCAAACCTTGAAGGAAAGGTCCTCGCGTATCTTTGTGACTGGCAACGCATTGCATTAAAGCAAGCGCATTGCACACTCGATTCGACTGGGCTGCAGTCAAATTAGCCGGCATTATTGCTGGATAAATGGCAATGACCTGAGAAAACAAAATACGAGCAAGTTTACAATCATGGCGTGAAAACGTCGCGACGAATACTGGTGAGTTTCGACTACCTCTTGTAGAAGAGCTGCCATAGTACCGAATGAGTACCACAACCAAATAGGGAGCTCCGGTACACTGTCTCTTTTCTTACTCAGTTCAAGAAGAGCATTTTCGCGTTTGTTGCTGTCCTTCAAATCCAGAATCCATTGCAAGATTTCCTCCCTAAAAGGCAAGCAAGAGATTACAGAATAATCAGGGAAGAAAGCGAAAGAGGAAAAGCGAACCTGTCCACCTGCATACCAGGCGCTGATGGTTGAGCAGCCTGCTGCGCTTGAGTAGCAGGAGAGGCACGAGCATCTGGTGGGGCTAGCGTGATCACCTCGTTCATGGGGATCATACTCAGCAACTGAAGCAAAATGTCAAAGATATATTAGCCCCAACAAGAAGCTTGGAACAAGGAACGAAAAACTCATAAAAACTTCGCACGCGAAGCAGCAGTTTAAGAAAACTCGTCAGATGAGTCGTTCTAGACGCAATCTGTACATGCACCTATTATTTGACGTCTGGTTTTTAGAGCGGGCACTTTTAACTTTCGTAGCAGCTGCGGTTCCTCTCTAGGTACTATCTGCTTTGATGTTTCTGGAACATCATTCTTGCTGTTTTTCCTTCTTATGTTTGATCTGGGCAGTTTAGGAGCATAGTAAATCCGATAAGGTTCAACGTAGGAATTATTAGTCAAATCTCTTGCCTTGACGGAAGTGATTTTATTGAACTGTGGGGAGTGAGCTTCTCTTAAACTGCCGCTTAAGATGAATCGCATGTTCTCGCAGCACAGGCCTTCAGTCATACCCAACTATTCGCTTAAGTTTTTGTTATACAGTTATAAAAGTTTTTGTTAAGTTATTTAACCGAGTGGGAGATCACAAATAACCTCATTGTTGATTCATCGCAATAGTAAATATACAGTAGGGTGAAGCGTCGTCTTCCTTATCATAGTTTCGGATATCCTTTTTATTAGCAGCGCTCGTATTACCTTTTCGCCGACGGGCAAAAAACGAAAAGCGTCATCGCTGGCATCGATATCGAGTGGTCAAAAGACCGTGGGATTTTGGGTGGGATCTGACGCCCTCAAATGTAGCCAATGTAAAAGTTGATATGCGAAAAAAGAGCAAACCAGAGATTGTTAAGTTTTGAGTGCTTTAGAATCCGGAATGGGCCGAATGGGTTATCGATCACGCAATATATTGTTCCATGCCCTTCGCCATTCGCTATCTACTGCCGCACAAAGTATAGTGTGTGAAGATACCCTCATAGCCAAACCATCCTCATGGACCATGACCCATGAGAGCAAATCTATCTTCATCTTCTCACGACTACTGCGGCTTTCAAGGCGTTGACATGAGCATGAGAAACTCAATAGAACTACTTTTGCACGACCCTGACTTTCCTGTGCTTCTAGTGAAATCCTCGCTAGTGGATTAGTTGGGGAGGTAGGGGCATCTTGTGTAGGGTATGCCGTATTGGCATGAATATTTGTGAAGAATCGTTTATCTGTTAGCACGCCTTAAATTTGCATGTTCCTATTTACAAACTTCCATTTCGCAGTGATCAACAGAGCTAGCTGGGGCAAATATAGGTAGACCTATTTTCTTGATTTCAGCACTTTTCTTTTATAAGTGGTTGGATACGATGAAATTCGAATACTATAGAAATCACAGGAGCGAGTAGCACTAGGTCTGAAGGAAGAATTATGTCATCAATTATTTCTTTGATTGCAAGGGTTCGAAAATATTGTTTACAAGCTTGATAACGAAATCAGATTGTGATTTTTCCATAGCTATCTTACAAACTTTTAGGTAGGCGTGCAGAAGGTTGCTCTCAATAGTTACTGTAAACTTATTTGGCTTTGCTAAATTTTCAGTTGTGACTTGAGATCGGTGACGTTTGAAGAGAGAAAGCTATCAACGAAGGCTTTTCAGAACTAGCATTGCATTCTATATCTGCTTTTTTTGTTTTCCAACTTGATAGGCAAAATAATGGGTGTCTAAACTTTGTCCGCTGTCTGTCCCCCTTATACTTCTGATAAATACCGGGTGTGGTGCGTTAGGAACGAAATGGTCGCGTCGCGGTGAGAGGGGCGTCGCGCGCGAAAGAATGTAGCAGGATGCAGCAGTGGGTAAGAAATACGAGAACAAAAGTACTAATAGTAGAATTGTGCATGAAATAATGATTGCATATCGATTGAGCTGTATGAAGAACGCTAGGGGTGTAATAACGGCGAATGAGTGGTCCGCGATAGCCGCGTGCGGCGAATCGATTACCCAAAATCGTTTCTAACGC